CACACTTGTCACACTGCGGCCTTCCTCCAACTTTCTAATGATTCGACCTCGGGTAAAAGCATCCAGATGTCGTCTAACAGATTGATTATTCACCATTTCTTGCTGAGGCAGCAACTCGGTGTGATTTTAACTGCTATACGGCATGCAATCTCTTTGCCAGAAATACTGATCTTACACCGACAACATGCTTTATACTACTCAGACACTCCCCCATTACGTCTACCTGCATATCTGCGCATGTGCTACCGTACATCACCTTACTTAATCTCCTGATTGGTCTTTCTGTTCGCTCTGCCTCTTCGTTCAGCTGATATGCTAATTTTTCGACTTCGTCCTTAATTTTTGCACAGCAGTGTATATATAAACTCAAAAGTCATTAATCAAAGCTTCCTAAAAAGATTTCAAAATATTTTAAACAAATCTTAATTTAAAAACTAAGAGACGATCTGCACAATTGCTGCAGCTTAGAAAAGTATATATATATATGTATATAGTATTTAATTTTTATTCACTATTTTAAAATGTAATAGGTGTCTTTATACAATTTTACTATCTTCTTGGTATGGTTTAATATGCATCTACTAAATTATTAATTTAAATTTTGATATACATACTCATCCTCTTTACATGGCTTAGATATCCTTACCATGCATTTATTTTCGAAATCATTGGTCATAAACATATACTTTTCAATTACAGAAGTATTTTAAATGATGAAAATATACTTGTTTTGGCAATTTCAAGTTGAAAAACAAATTGTACAGTTAATGAAATCTAGCTTGAATTACGGTGTCCAGGTTCCTATACTTATATATGGGAAAGTTCTATACTCATTATGAAAAAATAAAAATACAAGAATTTTGAGTTCCATACAACAAATATTGAACAGGATGTTTAATTTCAAAATTTGAAATTTGAGGGATCAGTTTAATTGAGTTAGAATAATTTGAGGAAATCAAGTGCAGCAAAAATGTGTATAATCTGATAACTACATGAGGAAGTCATGTGCTGTCCACATCAGATTTTTTTTATTAACTATAGCTGCTACACCATCACTTGAAGATCCAAACATTATATCTCAGTTTATATTTATCTGCTACAGATTTTATTTCAGAAAAAATATCCTGTGCAGCAGTTTTTTCTTTCATAGGAATTATTTCCAATAATTCTTTAGCAACTTCAAATTCAGTGGTAACGTCTCATACATAAAAATAGTAATTTCTGCAGTATCTTGATTGTACTTACTGTTGTCAATCATTAGCGTTTTTGTTTATATGTTCTACTCCTGTGTTGATGGAACAAGTAGTATTTTTAAATAACTGTTGTTTGTCAGGATAAAGAAGTTCAGCAGATTTAATCAAATATTTTATAAGGAATATGCCAGCAGTAAATGAGTTTGATCTTTTTTGCAATGATATGCATAAGTACAAAATTTACATAAACTTCACTGGATTTATTTGCTTGTGTAAAAAATTTTTTTGTTGTAAGCCAGATTTCAGAAATTGTAACTTTTCTTCCCTCAGTTTGCCTTCCAACATTTCAAATTTTCTTTGCGATTCTTTTCGTAAGGGTAATAAAAGTTGTATTCTTTGGGAACCACTATTTCCTTATTATAAATAAAATGTACAATTTTATTGCATACACCACTACAAAAGTATGTAATTTCCCATTTATCTTGAAAAACGTGCCCTTCTTTTTCATCGTTTATTTTACCATTTGTTAAAGACATGACTTGCAGTTTAGTCTCTTAAATAAAACCATTATTATAATTTTATTTTCAATTTTAGTTCAACGAGATGAATTTTTGTATGAAAGCAGCATTCCAAAGTTATGCATAGTTCTAAATGCATAGTTATTGGTATAATGTAGATATAGCAACAAGCAGAAATAAACAAGTTTTGTAAGCCGTGTATTAATTTGACTCCATCTATATAACAATACCAAATGCACAGCTGCGCATCCAGCTAACTAACTAGTGCTTGAAGGAAAGTATGTATAGGAAGTACCAGTTTTTTGGGGAAAAAATGGAAATATTAGAATACTATAGCTTCATTAACTGTCGGTTGATGAACTAAATTTACTGAATCTACCAACATCACATCGAAACACCCGGATTGGTATGCAAGAGTACAGAGCCTAATTTAGTCATTCTATTTCTTTTTCATTGAATAGCAATCATGCATTTAAGCTCAGTCCATATCTCTTTCTTAATATTGTTTATATTTTAAATTCCTGAAATGAAATGATTAACGCCTTTTTTCTTGTAGCTTCTTTTTGGTGCATCTAAGTGTATGTGCTATGTATGTACTTTTGGTTGTGTGCAAATGCTAGTTTTGAATTCAATTTAAATGTAATGTTCACTGTAATGTATGCTATAATAATTATCTGTTCTCTTGAGAAAAACTGTATTGCAGTCCACTGTGCAATGAATGTATGCTATATCTAATTATTTTATGAGATATTTATTATAAATATATCTTTGTTTGTAAACACTTTTCTCATAGATAGTTCTTGGGATAATGTTTTTTCATTGCATGCTAATTATCAATGTATTTTGAGTCATGTGATTTGCTAAGAAATGTAGTAAAACCAATCCGTCATTTTGGGCGTAGGGTATTTTACCAAAAAATCACAGTTACTCGAACTCTCATGCAGTGAAACTATAATGGGTGATGTGAAATGAATATGTTACATTAACCCTTTTGTGCTGACTGTCAGACATATATACCAGCTTGAAGTGCACTCTCTTCCCAGCTGTCATGCCATTGTGAGAGAGCATTTTCTTGTTCACCCCCGGACCATTACGCATTTATGTGAGATTTTTGGAATGTTTTAGGAAGCAATATTTTTGGCACAAGAATAGTATTATATGTCTAAAATTTTTAGTTACATATAGATTTGACTTTTTTTTGGCTAGAGTGTTGGGTCTTTTTTTAAATGCACATGTGATATTTATTAATAAATATTAGTTGTTTTTTTCCAGCTAGAGCATTTGATGTTTAGATTTGCAGTCCAGTTTCTAATTGCAAATTATACCTCATGTATGTAAAATGTTTCTGTTTTGATCATTAGGATGCGAAACTGTCGAAAACCCTTAACAAATTATGTTAATCTAAATCAGGTTATATCTGTGATGGCTTTCCTTCATGTGTTCACACTTCTGCAAAAATTCTCCAAAAAGGCAAATAAGGTATTGTGAATGCAAGGATTGTAATATAGGACTGCATGAAGATCTCTGCTATAAATTTATCATACTAAAATTGAATTTTAAGTAAAATGTTAATTGTCAGTTGTATAGTGTCTCAAGTCACTAACAGGGAAGTAAATACTGAAAAAAAAAAAAAAAAAAAAAAAAAAAAGTAATATGCAAAATAAAAATTATTTAAACAAAAAAACCTTAGAGCCTTTTTAAAAACCTTTTAAAACCTTTTTAAAAAAAGTTCTTAAATAGAAAATAAAGTATGTACCACTTATATACTCTATAGAGCATTATTAAACAACACATTCATCATTTCATGGACTTAGTTTTAGTAGTGAAAAGCTGTCTGGCTCTGGAGAGAAACAGCTGGCCCCAGTAATATGTGTGCATTTGCACCTTTTATTCCAAAAGAGTTAACAGTGTGGATAAGGTGTTAGAATAAGAACTGGTTTTACTTCAAAAGAAGTCATTTGTCTTATTATTTAGCAGAGTCATATGGAGGGGAGAGAGGTTGCAAGGAATAACAATTTGTTCAATGCAGATTTAAATGCTGTTGGCAGACAATACATGCCAGAAATATGAGAAAAAGCCTTTTAATCGATTTTTCTGTATTAAAAATATATTTCACCCCCCCCAAATCACCAATTAGTTATTGGCATGTATTGGTAAGGGTGGGTAATACCCAGTACCAAAAAAGTCAGATAATTCACAAAAAGTCATAGAAATAATTGCTTAGTACTTGAAAATAATTTATGTTGTTGATAAACTTACTTCTCGATTCATGATCTGAAGATTACAACAGTGTAGGGGACTGGTGTATTAAAAGAGCGGAATGAGTTAAGGATCAAAAGAGTGAACTATGTCAGAAGGTGGGATAATATAACATGTTAAAGCAATCTCTATGAATGGATGTCTAAATTATTTGATTGTGAGGTATGAGAAGAGAAAATATGAATTTGTGTTAAGCATAGCCACTGTACAAGAAAAATAAAAAATGTTTTGCCCCGTATGTATTAGTTGGTACACAAATTTTCCGTGTGCTTGAATCTGTTGATGTTGATAAGGGATCAAAAGTTAGCAACTTGTAGTTCTATGAAAATATGAATAATATGAAAAACAGCTTGAAATGTCCAATTACTACTTAGGTGATTGAGATAATAATATGCAACAAATTTGTGCTTCATCATTAGAGAAAAGTTTAAAAATGTAGTCCTTACTTGATTATGGAGGTAGGGGAGAATGTTTGTGCTAGATATAAAAAATAGTGAAATGTGTTCTTCTACAGCAACTAATATCTGGTGCTGTCTGCTGAAATGAATGTTTTCTTCTGAAGTACCTAATCAGTCAGAGGTATATTCAGATTTTTGAAAACTGCTTTTCAGTGTAATTGAAAGCATTGTATTTAAGTGCTTTTAATCAATCATAAATAAAATTTCATTGATGGAAAATAATCACCTGCTAACCAAATATGACATCTTTTTTTAAAAATTTTATTAGGGTTGCCATATTTGGTGATTTCACATTTATTGCTCATAAGTGTATGTATCAGTCTTTTTTCATCAGGCTGATAAACAAGTATCATTAATGTATACAAATTAATATTGAATGAACTTAAGAATATTTCATTGTTTACAAAATTTTGTAAATGTGAAGAGCTTTCATGTATATATATTGAATGTATAAATTAATGTAACCATGTAAGCAATTTTAAAAAGTTATGGTTATAAAAATATTTTTTATAATTAATAATGTATTTTATATTTGTATCTTAATTACTATGGCAATTTTATCTGTTGAACAGTGTATTACCGAGCTAATGAAAAGTTTGGTGATGGAACTGAGCGAAAGAATGATTACAGTGAATGGGGAATAAAAGAAATCAAGAGCTTTGAAAATTTACATTGGTTTGGTAAGTGTAATGATAATTGTTAATTACTGTTTTAAAATAAAGCAGGCCTAATAAATGTAAATGAAAATACAGAAAATGTTTGTGAAGTTTTACCATAATACTACCGAAATTCATCTTTTGAGAAATTCTTTACAACAGGTATTTTGTGTATGCATGGTTTTTGAAAGTATTATCTAATTTTTTAAAATTATCCTTAATTTCATTTATATACATTATACCAAATTAAATTCAACTTATTGGTGGTTTCAGGAATAATTTTGAAATATAAGCATGTAAAAAATTAGATACATATATATTATCTTGTCGACCATGAAAATGTCACTAAGCAGCTTTATTTAGTGGATGTAGATTTAGTAGACATAAATAAGCATGATGTAACAGTACGCTGATAATGTCTGCACTTTCGATTCATGTAACTCTGACTGATTCTAAATAAGGCCATGTTCTGTGTTTATGAAGAAGGTATAAATAAACTTATTATTATTTTTTTCATTTTATAAAAATTATTATAGTTTGGAGCACGCCCCTACAGAACAGCAAACAGTAGATTGTATTAATGAACACGATATAGTGAGCTGAATTTGGTGACAAAACAGTAATAGAGTGAAAATTTGTACTTACATATCTTCTAGTAAAACTGAACAGAGCTTCCAGTATAATTGGAGGGCCTAACAAAATAGTAGAAATTGATGAAAAATCTTTTTATATGAACAGCAAAAGGAAGTGGATCAAATACTGATTGTTTATCAAATAAAGTTGCATCAGTTCCTTCGGAAATCCGCAGGAACTATCGTTGCAGCTTTGGCAGGATATCCATCAACATTCATCGTCTGATGGTAGTCAACTTTCGTGGGTGATGAAATAATTTATACTACTTTCAATATTTATATATTAGGAATCTCTTAACGGTAATGTTTTGAATATTAAAATTTGGCATTAAACGTTATATTGTAAATTTCTGTAAATATTTAATTCATTTGATTGCAGTGATGTTTTACATGTTATTGTAATACTGTGTATTGCTTTATTTAGTTATTTGCTGATTTTAGAGTCGTATTTTAAGGATTTATTTTGGGTTTAATGGAGTTTGTGGCCTCATGTTATGTATAGAAATGTTTATTTCTTATGCAGAATTGTAGATTTTATTGTTTGTAAATATTTAAATTCGTTATTGTGGGGGTTGGTTTCATTTCTGCCATAAATTCACTTCGGATAATCACTGTTCAATTCAGTTCTAAATCTAACCCACATTTAAATTGTAAAAATAGTTCAACTAGAATGTGCAGTATGGGCAGAAATGCTTCTTATGGAACTCAGTGATATTTCATGATTTATCAGCGACTTTCTGGTAAATACATTTTTCAAGCTTTAGGATGAATTTTCTCTGAAGCTTTCAGAAGACTGTGCAGTGCCATGTAAATATAGCTTCAATAGGTAGGGTGTGTTAGTCGTTAATGATCTCTAAGAGCCTGCAGTTAAAAAAAAGTTAACCGAGTTGCATTTTAGATTTTACTATAGGAGAGATTTTGTGAATTTACAATATTCCCTGTGTGCTAAGGAACAATTCCTTAATGTTTGTGTTCTCCTTTTCCCCTTGAGCTATTTACAGCTATTTATTTTGCTATGTTTTGTTATTAGTTAATATATTTTAAGTTTCCATACACTCATCTGGATTGATTATTTAAAGAGACTCCACTAACTTATAATCTATATCAGAGCTCTGGATCTCTTTGAATGCTGATAACCAGGAAGACAGAGCAACTGTAAGGTACTATGGAAATGATTGTTGCCAGCTGGAAAGAAACAGCAGCTAAGACCACTGAAATGAAAAATCTCTTCTGAAGCAAATGCCACTCAGATGAGGAAAAAAGCAGCTGTGAAAGCCATCCAGACGAAGAACTCCATTGATGGAAATTTTATTAAAAAAAGAAGCAGTCCAAAGGAAGAAAGCATATAGTTTGCCATCTCTGTAATGAAGCAACAAATTCTAATGAAATAAAAGAAGCCATTGCTTCTGTGAAACAAGAAATCATGAATGCTATTAACACCATAAAGCTGTTATAGAAAACTGCCACAGAAAGCTACCATAAAAGAAAACTTGAGAAAAAGACTGTAAATCAAGAAATCACAAGTATCACTGAACAAATTTCTGCTGTAAATGACATTATTGCAAGAAATACAAAAGAAAAGAAATTTCTTAAACTGGCTTCACTTCTAAACACTATCTTGGCTGAGAGATCAGTGAGCACCACCCTGGAACATCTTGCTGTAAATGACACTTTGGCTTAATTTTCTCATCCTGTAATCCAGCTCTCGCCATATGATGAAGTCATCATAGAATATCTATAAGTGCAATTTGAAATGCTTTTGCTGACAAATCAGTAGGACTGCTGTTACCAAAGTTGGCTGCTTGTTTATAAGGAGAGGCTGCTGAGTTTTAACAGACACTTCCAACCAAAATACATTCAGATGTTAATGTCATAGTTAATATGTTAAAATTGTGATTTTGGGAATACTTTCTCAAGAATTATCACAGATGCTGGCTTAAGACCTAATAATGAAAAGCAATAGAGACTTTTTTAAGAACTATTGACTGACAGAAAAATTTAATTCAGCCAGCCTTCCAGAATGTTGCTATCAGAAAATTAAGGACACATTGAGTTTTCAGTAGTATGTGCATGCTATTGGGGATCTTGATGTACAACATGCATTCCTAATAGTGGACAAAGAAGGTCTCATGAGTGTTCTTATCTGTGTCAATAAAATGGAGGCTGCATTGAAAACTAAGAAAAGATACTTTTGTCCTGTCAGGCAGTCAGTAATAATAGTCTTGAGAGCATTGATGAAGCTGACAAAATGATTGGAGGCAGTAGAAACATTCAAGACACACAGTTGTTGTAATAATGGATTAAAGCATTGGAGTTGTGGTAATGTGAGACATTTACAGGGGCAGTGTCCTGTCTGCAAAGGATTAAAGAAAATCATATGAAGGAATAGAAATTATTGGAAAACTCAGTAGTTGGTCTTCTACAGACATTTTCAGTTTACACTAGAAATCATGGACTCTGCATAGAAGGTGAAATAAATGGATCTCTTTGTCATATAATTGTAAACATAAGTGCTAACGTTATTAGTTAATATTAGTTATTTTAAGAGCTGATGCATCTCGGAAAATTGACAGAAACCTGCTGCTGTATATGGCTCCATCCCTGACAGACTCTGAACAGAGAAATTCTCACTTAATGGAAAAATGACTGCATCAAGTTTGCATCTTGTGTATGCAAGTACATAGTCTATGTGTCTGATATAATAGATCAGTGCATCCTCAGACTGGATTTGTGAAGAAATATGGATTTTGTTTAGATGTAAAAAATAATGGACTGCACAGCACTAATGTTGAAATATGGATGTTTGAAGTGTATATGAAAATAAAGTGAAGTGCTATAAGATAATTGCTTTAAATGATGCTATGATCTGTCTTAGAATGGAATGCATCATTTGCAGTACAGCTAAACCTTATGAGAAGTGACAAAGGAATTTCAAATTTTCTTAAGGAAAATACCTATTCAAAAACACTTTTAATTGCAGCTCCCATAATAGTTAACTTCAAGAAAATGTACCAGTCAACATAAGTGACAAACCTCATGCTTTTTTGAAGATATTTCACTGTGACAAATATCATTTGAAGCACACTCTAGCTAAATTAAAAAAAGATAATAGAAAATAAAGAACTAGCAGCATATCATTTTATAGAACAATTTTAAGGATGTATTTTTCAACTTCATCTTGTGATATTGGTCGCATGAATATGATACAACATCAGACTGACACTTACAGCAAACCATTCACTCATTAGATATCTTAACACAAGCCATTCACTTATCAAATAACATTCTCAGCGTATCATTTTGCAAAACAGTGGGATGTCTGAAAACTTCTGAAGGGGATGCAGGGAAATGATATTATTAAGCTTTCATAAAGTCCTTAGGTATGAAGTTCAGAAGAAAGATGACTCCATGCTGTTTTGTATAAACTACAGATGTATAAATGGCATTAGAAAAAAAGACAGTTTCCTTTGTATGGAATGGCACTTTAGATGCACTAGGAGGAAATAAATGGCTTTCCCACTTTGGATTTGAAGAGCAGCTACTGGCAAGTGGAACTCAAGCCAAAAAACACATGAGGAGATTGCATTTATTACCTATTAGGGACTTTGGTAGTTTGAAGTAATGCCTTTTGGACTGTGCAGTGCACCAGCAACATTTGAATGTCTAATGAAGACAGTTCTGAAAGGACTGTCATATGAAGCCTGTCTTATATATCTAAATGAGATTAATGTAGTCAGTCACACTTTTGAGGAATATTTGGAAAGTTTCAGAAAAAGTATTACTGAGACTAATTTAAAGCATTCAAGTCCTTCAGAGTGGAACCTGTTTCACTGGAAAGTGATATTATTTCCCCTTAAGGCATAGATCCTGAGAAAATCATTAAAGGTTTCTCTAAAATTGCAAGACCTTTAATTATCTAACAGAAGTAATGCAAAAGTTTTTGTGCATTGATGAATATGAAAAAGTTTTAAAGTACCAATTTCCAGTAACTGTTTGCTTTATAAGGAGTTTACGTACCTTTTGGATAATCTGGTGTTATCATTTTTAAATATATTTTTTTAATACCTGATCCCCCCTAATTTTTAGGTTTGAATTGTTATTTTTAATGCTATGTAAAAGGTGTTTGATTTCTAATTCAAATAAGTAATTTCAGTATCCTAAAATTGAATAGAAAAACAATGTATTCTTATAAATATTTCTTTATAAAATTACAACCTTGGAATTCTTAAATGGTTTATTAAACTACAAGTAAATCTTGTGAAAATTTTACCTATGATATAAATTATTCATTCTTCTCTCTGTTAAACTGTTTTATGGTATTTGAACAAAACACAGTAATTAGACTGTGTTGCTGATATGAATGATTTAATTAAAATGTAGGAAAAACTGAAAATTGCTACTTTTAATAATATGAGATTCATAGTTTTGTTATATAACTTATTCATATTTAAAATAATTTGAATTATAAAATTCTTTAAAATAAATGATGAAAACATTTTTAAATAACTATAGATTATGTTTTGTAATGAATATTTTGGAATTGTATTGTTTTTCCTAAAATGTGTGTGTTGTATTGCAGGTCTATGAAAATTACCTTCTGAAGCCTGTTTGTTGTATTCTGTAGTGTATATATTTTGAAATAAAAGTTTGTTGTACATTAACAGAACTTCTGATTCAATTATTAATGCTACTATTTTTGATATATATAAGCCAAAGAATTTTGAAAAATAAGCAATGTGTTGATAGATATAAATTATGAATTGTTCATCATAACTAAATTTGTTACTTTGAAGTAATATGTTGAATTTTAAGTTATCAGAAGTTATTATTATAGCATTTTGGAATGTTTGGACTGAATTAACTGCTCTTTTTAAATGCTTACTGAAATTAGGCACATTAGTATTTTGTTTTAAATGGATTACGTGTATAAATGTAATAAATGTATTTCAAAGATTATTGTATTAATTAAATTAATATAAAAGATTAATGTAAATTTCTATGTGTATAATCATATTGTAGCAGGCAAACCAATTTCCTAGAGTTATAATTATTTACAGGACTAGCATTAAGCATAATTGCCCATATTTCTAGAATGATTGCATTCAGATTGTACATATCATTTTATTGAAATATCAAGATAATTAGGAAATATAATTAAAACAGTAAAAGCTTATGTTTGTTCTATGTAGATTGTTACATTTTATCTATATTTAATCTTTTCAAGACGTTACATACCATTTTGAAACTAGTAGATTTTGAACAAATATTATGAGCAATTGCATATGTTTATGAACATTTCATGTATTTTTATTGTGAAAATATGTTTTCATGTAAAAAATAATTCTACACAGCTTAAATAGAACAAAAATCTTAACTTTAAATAACTAATTCATAAATCTTTCATTATAGACAAAAATCTGTGAGGTTTTTAGCTTTCAGCTACTTAAATCAACAATTTCTGTTATTAAATGGTGAAGAATATACATGATTGTTCCTCACATTGTAGAAAAATGGTGGTACTTAGAAAATTACTGAAATCACATCTTTAAAATTACACCTGCCACCTATATACGAGGGCTATCCAGAAAGTAGATTACGTTTTGGAATAAAAAAATAAACAAAGTATAGGAAAGCAAATTTTATTATATACAGATGAAAGCCACACTCAAATACTACATTTCTACATAGTCACCATACAAATTAAGGCATTTATCGTAGCGATGTACGAGCTTGGAAATTCCTTCGTCGAAAAATTTGGCCGCCTGCGCCTTCAACCACTTCGTTACCTCTTCTTGCCTTCCATCTTGCACAAAACTTGTGGTAACCAAGCTTTTCGCTGATGATTTCGTGCAACAAACTTTCGCGAAATTTGTGGAAATCTCAAAGAAAGTTCCGTTATTGTGAAATTTCGATTTTCACGGACTTTAGCATCGACTTTTTCGAGAAGTTCGGCGGTCACTATGCTGGGTCTCCCACTTCGATCTTCGTCGTGAACATTGGTTCGGCCATTTTGAAATCTTATGACCCACTGACGCACTCCACCTTCAGTGATAATGTTGTCCCCATACACTTCACGAAGCTGCCGATAGATTTCTATCGGTTTACAGTTTTTTTTGCAGTCAGAAACCTTATTACTGAGCGCACCTCGCAGTTCGCGGGATTTTCAATTAACGCAGACATTTCAAACCGTCACAGTATCTGAACGGAGCACAGCACGAACCTCTCACTAGCACGGCTAGATGCAGACTGAGCTGCGCAACGCTCTGACCCCAAGATGGCCGCGCTAGCCCCGCCCCTAGCGGACACAGACGGAAACGTAATCTACTTCCTGGATGGCCCTCGTACATAGGTAAGGAATGGGATATTTTCAGTCTAAAATTTTGATGGACAGTTTTCAGTGAATAAGCATGAATTGGGTCTCCACGACACGTTTTTACTACTTTTATAATTATGATATATATTATTATAATGATGTTTGTCTGTGTGTAAGTGTATGATGACCTTTTCGTCCATAATAACTCTTACATGAAACTTCCAAAAATTTGCATTTTCCATATTTAAGCTTTCAACATTTCTATTGATGAGTTGATTAGATTTTGGGAAAAATTTAACCAGCTTTACTTGAAGCTCATAAAGGCCTGTTTACAATAGTGGGACTTCGAGCCGGTGAAATGCGTATGAACATGAAGGCTCCGCTAAAGGGGAGAGGAGAAAGGGCACTAACAATTTTTACCTTTCTTCCACCTACATTCGCAGATAAGGGAAGTAATGTTTTCTGTCCAAAAATTGGTTAATGAGTTTTCAGTTCCTACAATTCCATGTTTGGCAGAAGATTGTAAGCTGGCCACATCAGATTTTTTGATTTGTGGATAAATGACAAATAATAAGTAAAGCATGAAAGAAAAAACTTTTATTTAAAAAAAAAATAAATAAAAAAATTGATACAAGCAAATGGAATTTTGAATTGATGTATTCAGTCTGTTATTTGCTCTTCTGGTGGCACGAAATCTATTATTTCCCAGCAGAAAATTCCATTGCCTCGATATCCAGCTTTACATCGGCAGTAGGGGTGGCCGCTGATGTGTTGGGCACAGGCAGCATGAATACTACAATCACTGTTGCTGAGGCAGCTGCTTAACAAATACGATTCTTCTTCATCAAAGGCTAACTGATTGGGGATTTTATCAGCTGGAACTTCATCATCTTGCTCCTGCATCATAACAGTTATAGTAAATGAAATATTAATAGAAAATTTTGCATTTGCTTGAAATGTGTAATCATATTGTATAATTCTAATAATTCTTAGAAAATAAAAGGTAAAAAGACTTACCTTTTAATCGATCTTCTTTCTTTCCAATCCAAAGGTATATCCGGGAGTAGTTTTCCTAAGTACATCTATACACTACTCACAGACAGAAAGAGAGAGGTGTCTAAGATAATAAGATATTTAATTTACATCACAGCACTAAACTAAAATATATAAACACAGAAGAGAATTACTACATGTTTCACTCAAACGTCCATCACGAGTTCTCAAAGTTCAACTAAAAAGTTCTGATTTAGTTTTTGCTGCGCGCATGCGCAAATCACGTGCTTGTCGGTGAGAGTTTCAACATACTCCCACCTTTAAATTTGCTGAAAAAACCAAATTTAAAAATGTAACCTTTGAACAGGCTTTACCATTCGACCACTTTTTGTAGTCATCGATGGAATCTTTTCGCTCTTAAGATCTTGAGGCAAGTCATTACGAATATCAGAATCGCAGTAAGTTACTGTTTCATCAGAAGAGCTGCTTGCCACATTTCTGGATCTAGACTGTTCATCAGGATACAAACGCTTGGTTGGTCGGAAAACTTCTCCAAACTTAGTCTTGACCTTAACTAAATGCACGTGTCCATCCCGAGATTTGAAAATCTCAGTTACTTTTCGCCAATAACCAGTCTGTTCGCTTCTTATTATCATGGGACACTAAAACAAGATCTCCTATTTTCAGAGGATGTGAAGCTTTTACATGTTCATAATTTTGTCGTAACTGTCTGAGATATTCGATTCGAAATCTTTTACATAGATCTTGTAACAGTTTTTGTCAATAAATAAGCCTTTTGTTTAAAGATTTCACATCTATATTATCCAGATCAGGAACTCCAATTTGTTGAATCTCATGGAGAAACATGGAAGGTGTGATCGGAGATAAATCTTCAACATATTCTGAGACATACGTCAATGGACAATTATTCATTATTGCTTCACAGTCACACAAAATTGTTATCATTTCTTCATAATTTAGAGATGATGGTCCTAAAATTTTGCGAAGGATTCTTTTCAGGACTCCTATTAATCGCTCCCACCATCCTCTCCATCAGGGAGCTGATAGCGGAAGAAATTTCCATGTGATCTTGTGGATACTAGCTTGTTCTAAGATTTTATCCCAATTTAAGCTTTTGAATAATCTATCACTTCCTTTGAAATTCGTTCCATTGTCGGAATAGATGGTGTAGGGTCTTCTACGTCGAGCAATGAAACGTCTCAGCGCTTGCAGAAAACTTTCAGTTGATAGCAAGAAAATCAATTCCAAATGTACTGCGTGAACCTCTGACATACAACACAGCTTCTTATGACTTTCTTGACAATCTTTCGTGTTTTCAAAATCCAATATTGTTCTCGTAAAGCGGATATTAAAAATTGTACTCCTGCATGATTGTTCATTTCATGTTTAGCTCTAATTAATTTTACTACAATAGGATGATCTGAAGGAAGAATAATAGGAAATCGAAAATTTTCTGTATCATCTCTTCTCAGAATTCTGGTTTTAACCCTAAGGATTCCATTAGAATCAATCATTGGTTGAAGTACACGTAATCTTTTGCAATCTAATCCCGAAAATGATTCACTCTGCACTAATCTCAAAAGAGTTAATTCGGCTCCTTTAATTTCTTCCGCTGTAATTGTTCCAAAAGTTCTTTCATTAGGACTTAGTCTGACATTCTTAACAAAACAGAAGATCCAAGATATTATCTTTAGAATGGTGTTGTACAAAGAAATCTTATCAAAATTAACTTTAGTCATAGCATTCGAATTAACTGCAGAAATTATTGTCTTCTTTCTTTCAGCATTTACAATGTACGTCCAGAAAGTAAGTTCCGTTTGGTAATAAAAGTAAATTGTGTACAGCTACAGAAAAGTTATTTATTGCACAAAATTCAACAATTCTTAAACTACTTTTCCACATAACTGCCGAAATATTGCAGGCATTTGTCATAGCGTGGCACAAGTTTTTGTATACCTTCTTCATAGAAATTTGCCGCCTGTTCTTTCAACCAGTTGGAAACAGTTTCTTTCAGCTCGTCATCATTGTTCAAGTGTTGACCGCCAAGGAAAGACTTAAGATGTAAGAACAGATGAAAGTCGTTAGGAGCGAGGTCAGGGCTGTACGGAGGATGATCAAACACGTCCCAGCCAAATCCTTGTAGGAGGTTTTTCGTCACATTTGCAGTGTGTGGTTGTGTGTTGTCGTGAAGAAAAACAACACCTTTTGACAGCAATCCTCGGCGCTTATTCTGTATCGCGCAGCGCAAGTTCCGAACTGTCTCGCAGTAAGCATCTGCTCTGATTGTTTGACCACGCGGTAAGAAATCAATGAGTAAGATGCCTTTCCAGTTCCAGAACACTGTGCACATCATTTTTCGAGGTGTCAAGATTTGCTTCGGCTTAACCTTTGCTGGGGATGAAGTGTGCCTTAATTCCATTGATTGCCACTTACTTTCAGGGGTGTCGTAAGAAACCCAAGTTTCATCTCCTGTGACTATCTGTGTCAGAAATTCTTCACCGCTTTCAGCATAACGGGTCAAAAACTGAAGTGCACTACCCATCCGTTTTGTTTTGTGTTGCTCAGTAAGAATCTTTGGTACCCAACGTGAGCAAAGTTTACGAAATTTCAGTTTTTCGGTAACAATTTTATGCATTAGTGATCGTGAAATTTGGGGAAATTCCATAGCGAGAGCACTAATTGTAAACCTTCGGTTTTCATGGATCTTGTCATCAATCGCGTGAACCAGTTCTTCTGTAACCAAAGATGGACGCCCACTTCGTTCTTCATCGTGCACATCACTACGTCCGTCATTGAACTTTCGGACCCATCTTCTCACCATTGAATCACTCATCGCTTTTGGTCCGTAAACATCGCAAATTTGCCGATAAATTTCACTAGGTTTCACTTTCCTCGCATTCAGAAAACGAATCACAGATTTGATTTTACAAGCGGCGGGATTTTCAATCAACACCGACATTGTAAACAAGCACAACAAAGCGTACGTGACTGACGGCGATCTCCGAATGGCACGCGTTTCTTCTCCTTGATACAGAGCGTCTACTGCGCACGTGCGGAACTGCGATCGCAGAGCTGCAGCGGAGATAAATTGAAACGGAACTTACTTTCTGGACGTGCCTCGTATAATGTCAAAATTTGGTACAATTTCAGAGGTAGGCCATTTTTCTGGACCATTTCTCAACCAATCGGGACCCTCCCACCATTTCGATTTGACTAAGGTTTCCGGACTGCATCCTCGGTAAGGGAGGTCCGCTGGATTTAGTGTTCCAGGAATATAATTCCAGTCGTTTGGATTAATTAGAGTATGGATTTCTTTATTGTGAACAAAAACAGCCCAGTTTTCATTCTTCTTTATCCAAAATAATGCATCCATAGAATCACTTCAATAATAAATAGGCATTCTAGTCTCAAATCTTCCTTAAAACGATGTGCCAGTCTAGCACCAATCGTACAAGCTAAGAGCTCTAGTCGTGGTATGGAAATCGGCTTAATAGGTGCCACTCTGGATCGAGTTGAGATGAGCTGACATGTAATGGAATTTTCATTACAGCTTCGCATAAATATGCATGTGGCATAAGCAGATTTACTCGCATCACAAAACACGTGTACAGATAAATCGGAAATTCTTTCGAAGTCAACAAAAATTCTTCTGGGTATAGCTATTTTTTCCAAATTGTGCAATTTATTTTTCCAACTTTCGAATTTGTCAAAAATGCTTTTAGGTAAATTGTTATGCCATGAAATCTTCTGTTTCCAGCATTATTGAAGCATTAGCTTAGGAATCAGAGTAACAAGAGCTGTAAACCCAATCGGGTCAGAAATCATGTGTACTATTGACAATATATTTCCTTTTGCTGACAGGCTGTTTTCACAGAACTATCTTTAAAGTCACAGGACAAAGTGTCATTTGATAAATTCCATTTCAACCTCAACGAACTGATCACGGTTTTATCGGACGTACATTCATTGCACTTAGGATTTTCTTTTTAAAGTTTCATCGCTAGATTCATTGTAACACTATCCCCTTAAATCAAATTTAGCAGTCGACATAATTTCCTTCGACACATTATTGAAAGTGTTTAGTTCTTCAATAGTATCAACGCTGGCCACACAATTGTCGACGTACATTGATTCACTTAATTTCTTAGCTACCTCTTGTTGATGTTCAGGAACATTCTCGAGATGATAATTCAGTGTGGCGGCGAGAAAAAAAGGACTGGCATTAATGCCAAATACAACGCGCTTATATCGGTATATTTTCAATTTTTTGGAATCTCCTTTTTCCCACCAGAGAAATCTAAGAAAGTCTCTATCTCGAGGACAGACACCTATTTGCAAAAAGGCCTTGCGTATATCTGAGGTAACCCCATATTTATCTAGGCGGAATCTGTTTAAAATACTCGGTATTAATTCCATATAATTTGGGCCCTTTTCTAAACAGTCATTTAAGAACACACCATTCCTTTCCTTCGCTAAGGCATCGAACACAGGTCTAATCTTTTGTGGTTGAACTTTCCTTAATTACAGCCCTATGTGGTAGGTAATGACAATTTTCGGTTTTCTTATCTTCAACAGATTCTAGAATATCTTCTTCAGCCCATTCGTTAAAAATATTTTCATACTCTTTCAGACAGTTTTTTGACGCAGGATTTTAACCTTTTCTCTGCTAATAATCTGTTGTCAGGTAAAACCTCATGCCCTTCTAACCAAGGAAGAGAGACCTGATATCTACCCTCACTATCTCTCTTTAATGACTGACGAAAATATGTTTTAGCGATTTCATTAATTTCCTTTCTTGTGTGGGTTGTAGCAGGATCCGTTATTCCTAACGAGTCAAGACACCATAAATCCGAAATTTTAGCATCATTAACATGAAGTGACAATACAGTTTTCGTACTGTTAGAGAACTCACGCTTTTCAGTTTTCCCCATCATTGTCCATCCTAATCTAGTGTATACGCATGATAACCCACATTTTAGTTGTCTAACCTTCCCTGTTAGAAGCTTTCCTGCCACATCTGCACCTAAAAGAACATGAATTTCTAAAGGTGATTTTTCATACATCAAATCCACAGATTTATTCTGCATGTCAGTTAAATAAATTCCATGTTTTCGCAGTTCAGTAAGATATGTATCTCTACGAATTTGAGGAATGTCAGTACATATTTTATCCTGATTCAAAACCTGAAAAGTACAGTGATAATCACCTTTAAGACTACTCAATCTAATTAAATATTTACTATGAGTTTCTTTCTTTTCAATTCCTCCGAACAAACAATGGATTAATTCTTCTTTACCACTTGTTTTATAATTCATTATACTAACTGCATACTTCGAAATGTAGGATCGCTGGGAACCACTATCTATTAAAATTCTCACATATTTTTCGATTCCATCCCCACGAAGTTTTACTACTAAAGTTTGCAAATTTACTAACTGCATGCAAGATTTATTTGTTAGAACACAGTATTTTTTAATATTTTCATCCCCAATAATGTCTGTAGAATTATTTCCGTGAGGGTCATCCTTAACAGTATTACACATTATTGATAAATGAGCTTTACCGCATATGGAACATTTAACTTTGGTCTTGCAAAAGCGGGAGATATGGTTCCGGTTCAAGCATTTAAAACATAATCCGTGTCTAAGCAATTTTTGCTTTTTGTCATCTAAGGTTAAACGACTCGCATTCCGACATTCAGAACTTTCATGATCTGAATCGCAAAATATGCAGTTCGAATGTTTATAATTTTGATTCTCATTTGTAAACAGCAACTGCGAGGCAGACGATACATCTGGTACCCGTTTATCATACCAAGTTGACAGCTTGCTTTCCGCGTTTTGTTTGTCGGGGGGGGGGGATGAGGAGAAAATTGACGGGTCTTCTTTCGACTGCAAAGCTGTTTTTCCCTAGCATTAATTGCTGAGAAAGAAATTCCACTAGGTGATTCAAATCGTAATTTGATTTTCGAACTGTTTTATTATATTCGAAAAACCAAATCTGCGGGCAATGTTTTAAGCAAAATATGTATTAATAAAGCTCCATATGTTTTTTGAGGTCATACTTAATGATTCAAGACATCGAATATGTTTTTGTATGTAATTGATTTACAGAAATTTTGAATGTCATTAGAATCCTTTAGAGGTCTTATTTTCAGTAATTTATTTATATGGGCGTTTATCAGTACATCTTTATTTCCAAATCTTTCTGCGAGTAGTTTAACTGAAGTTTCGTAATTTTCTTCGGTTAAATCGAAACCGTCAATGTTATAAGCAGTACCTCCCAAAAAGGATTTCAAATAATTAAATTTGCTTATAACGTCAAGCGTCTTATTTTGGTGTATGGCTGATAAAAAGTGTTCCAAAATGTCAGCCATTCGCAGCTCTCGCCATAAAACTTCGGAATCGTAAGTTTAGGAAGCTTCACATTATTATTTTCGATTTTAACGTTTTCTATACTTTCACTTAACTGTTCAGTGCTTCTTAACACACTAAATTTTTGTTGTTCTATATTAATTTCTTTCAATTTTTTGTTAGCTTTGCATTTAAATGTAGTTATTCTTTCACGATATTCGTCAACACCGTTTAATTCCTGGTCTAGATCCTTTATGTCTATTAATTTTTCTATATCCGCATCTATTTGTTTTAACTCGTTCGATTTTTCATTTAAGAGTTCTAAGGAAATTTCTAGTTTCCTCTGCATTCACTTCTGTTTTTGATAATTCAGTTTTCGATTCGGCCAATTAATTTTGTAACGGCAGCTCTTATGTGGCCGCGTTTCCTTTTCAATGTATCGATGAATTCCAGTCATTGTTAATGATATATTCAATAATTCAACAAGTATCAACAATTCGCTTTCATTCGCGGCACGGGATGCCAAAAAATGTGTAAATCGTAATAATTTTCTTAGAAAATAAAAGGTAAAAAGGGCTTACCTTTTACATCGATCTGTACTTTCTTTCTAATCCTTAAGGTATATCCGGGAGTATTTTTCCTAAGTACATCTATGCACTACTCACAGAAAGAGAGAGGCTTCTAAGATAATAAGATATTTAATTTACATCACAGCACTAAACTAAAATATATATGTATAACACAGAAGATAATTACTACATGTTTCACTCAAACGTCCATCACGAGTTCTCAAAGTTCAACTAAAAAGTTCTAATTTAGTTTTTGCTGCGCGCATGCGCAAATCACGTGGTTTTCGGTGAGAGTTTCAACACATGTGTTAACTCAAAAATAGTCAAGCTCTGTACTTTTATTAAATGCCAAATCCTCTGAGTGCGAGAAAATACTAAAGAAGAAGTGTGGATTTTAGCTTTGAGTGAACAATAAATCTTATAAGCGTAATAAGTAATTAAAAAAGAATTGACATCCCAAGAAAGTATAAATATAGGCATCAAGATGAAGGAACTGAGTACCTCAAAAAAATTATTATCAGGATAAAATGCTATATGTGCATTTCGTTTAAAAAAAATTTAAATATATCTCTTTTTAGAAAAATAAAGTCGTGAGAAAGAACGTTTTGTATGGAGAGATATTTGGTTGATGTACTGCAAACATTTTATTATACATTTTTTCAGACATATCAAGAAAATAAATAATTAATTATATTACAATGATTATTAATTTGAAATATATTTTCCAGAAATCGATCAAAATAAAAACTGAGATTTTCAGGAAAATCTTGTTTGGAGACCATTTGGTGCCCCTCTGCAAGCGGCGCCTGGGGCATCATACTATCTTGTCCCCCCTCGCTACGCCACTGATATATTTATTGTGTGTTTAACAGTGAAACGAGTAGAGATTCAATCTAGAACACGAGTGAAACGAGTAGAGATTCAATCTAAATTTGGTGTGCCGAGTTTATGTGATGTAACGTATAATATTTACTATCGATTCCCAAGTCGCAAAAATAAACCAAGAAGCCACAACCAGCAGCCTCCTCATACCCAGTGGAAATCTCGATTTCAAGAAATAATTTATCAAAATGTATACATATCTTTTTGGTAAAGATCTTTCATCATACTATCGAATATTTCATTATCCATAAATCGGTAAATTGAATGTTATTTAGATAACCATTATCTAACGGTAATTTTTTATAAAAATATTTTAACTGTAATGAGAGAGGAACAGTGGCTAGTTTGCAAATGCATTCAATTAAAACAGTCTGAAAGGCTAAAGTAGTTGCAAGATAGCACTTTTGCTGAGCAGCTCATCTGTTGTAAAAGTTCTTTTATAATGTTTTAAAATTCCTTCCATTCTTATGCGTATAAATTTCAAATGTTCTTTAACATTCGTTTCTTATCTGTAATTTCTCCTAAGTATTTAAATGTTCAACAAATTCTTCTTATTATTAAATCTCAAGTTGGACGGCTTGGCTATCCTGAGGGAAAAGTTTTCTCAAGGTTAAATTCTTTCTTTAAGATACCAATTATTTATAATAATTTAAATCTTCTTAAAAGTATGTTCAGTTTTTTTCCTAGTGAGGAATTGTAAATTAATAGCAATATGTCAGCATAAAAGTTTAAATTTTGACAGATTAATTTCATCTATTGATTTATTTGCGATGAGGCTTCAGAACAAAGGTGCATGATACGAACCATGTAGGCAGTGGGCATCTTTTTTTTTTTTTTTTTTTTTTAAACTTTAAACCTTTCCTCACCCCTTTCAACTAATAAATAAATATTCTGTCATTAAAATTATTCTCTAAAAACTTTTAGAAATTTTAATATTGTTTAAAACAGAGAGCAAGGATGACTATATGACAGAATCAAACCTATTTATGGCATCAAGTGACACCAAAATGACCTGATTAATTTGTTTCTTGTCTCTAATATAAGTAATAGTTTTACATAGAGTTTTATTTGTTCTACGACACTTCATGGGGCCAAATTGAA